CATCAAACTAGAAAACACGTTCTTTTATCAGTCATACTCTTAATTTGTCACCTAATGGAAATTCATCATCGGTGAAAACTTCTGATTTATCTCCACTTATACCATCAGTCAGAAAGCATTCACTCAGAAGAAGCCACGAACAATATAATTCAAAGAAGTTTTAACCACATTTATCAACTTCCGTTCCTGTACCTGAAGATCTTTTTAACAAATTAGATAAAGATGAAGATCGTAAAAATGGTGAACCAATCAAAGCTGTTACGAAAGCAGCATCTTATGATTCCAATAGTTCCTAACGTACCTAACTGTGGTGTTTGAATGGACTAATGATACCTTTGTACTGGTTGAATGTTTGGTTTCGAATTCTAAATACAGTACATTCGTTGTGCCTGTGTCTTCTTAATTCAATTGCGTTAATCCTGGAATTCCTAATTCATACGACAATTAGAATACTATACTAACGTAGCCTCATTCATATACACACGATACGAATTTTATTAGTACCTCTTTACGTAATCCACTCCACATTTTGGCCGTTAAAACAGTTCAAGGTACACATAAAAACCAAATGTTTCTTTCCACCGTATCTAACAATGTTCGTGCTATGTCTCTACCAGGATCAATAATGTCAACGTCATCACTTTCAACAGAGATTCCAAAGCTATACTTTCCAGTTTCAAGGGTGCAATAAAAGTGCTAGAAATCGTGATAATTCTCTGAACCAACCAAGATATGCTACCCAGAGAAATAACATTTGAATTGCTTGCTAGAGAAGAGGTCGGCAGCTCTGTGTTTCGCAACAGCGTTGCACATCCTGTTTGCTGTGCTTTATCTGTTCGAGTGCCAAATAATGACAATCCGCTAGAGATAACTCATTACTCGATACAAAAATTAAGTCGAGGTGTTCGGTTTAAGGGTTTGAACAAAGAGTGGGTCGAGATAATCATGTCACTCATTCAGAATTATCTAGTCATCATCTCCAGCTTGCCCTTCATTCAGTCGCAGACCTACCCTATAAAACAGTCCTACCAACACGTGTCACTAGTTTCCATTTAAGCCCTGTCAGTTTTTTCAAATAGAAACTTATCATTTCATAACATAATAACAAAAGATCCATTTGTACTTGGCAGTTATCAAGTATCAAATTTACCACGATGCGAATCATGATATTTAGTTTATGACCGCAAAATTTACTTGCCATAAATTAGCAATGTGAACTAGATCTAAAACTATTAGCATTGAATGGACGTTCACAGTAACTACATATCAGAAACACTAATTCCAAAACATAATAAAACATTGATTTTGCATCATCTAAAAATCTGTTACACATTACATTCAAAGAACGATTAGCATGCTCGCCTACAACCTCTAAAATTTATTCGATAGCTTAATAACACTATCAAGTTATAACAACATAATTTTGGCTCCACTTGAGTTTTTACATTCATTAGTTCAGTCCCGCCTATTCATATTACTGTGACAACATACGTTCTCATACAACTTGAGGCTGACTAGTGAGGAAACTAAATCTACAGAGAGTGGTTAACGTTTCCTGTAGAAATCATGTCAATCTTTGTCGGAATATGTTAAAGATTTGCCATAGCCTGATTTTCTTGTCTTTCAAAGCGGAAAACATACGAGGAAACTTCAGATGATTTCATAACTGCAGAATAAATTACTTGTCAGATGATTATTGACTATTCGATCGAACCAGTGAATGGAGCTCATTAACTTGTAGTGTGGCGTCGAGTCGCGATTGAGTATGGTCACCACTACAGGAAGACTACGTGCCAGTTAACCGATAAGATCCTCCGTAGGCCAAATATCAGAAGACAGTTGATGACTGTAGTCGAGACGTATTTGTTGGCGATCTCGTGGTATCGAAAGAATACGGAGATCGTGCCAGGTTACAAGTGTGGTTACTGAGAGTAACCGAATTCGTGCAAGGTCACAATCAACGGAAGAATGTATGTGTTTTGGTACAGTTAAGTTTTCAGTCTTCAGTAATAAGGATAGTAGGTTGGTGAACCTATGTTAATCCTGACAGATTGCCTTCCAGGGAAGGTCCAGTTTCTACTTGAAAATATTCACTGATGGGGCTGATACCACTTGTTGGGGCAAGGCGTTCCAATCATTGACTACTCGATGAGAAAAACGGGACCCCACTTTAAGTTTATTAGATCTCGGTTTATCAACCTTCTTGCTATGACCTAAGAGATTATTAGTGCTGGAGGGAGCAAAAAGATAAGACATATTAACACCCAAATCATAATTAAAGCTACGAAATGCCAGTATAAGGTCACCTCGTGTCCTGCGATACGACAAGGGGAGAAGGTTTAGGCGTTTTAAACGCTCATCGTAAGAGAGTTTAGAAAGACCCTTCACTAATTTCGTTTCCACACGCCCTAGTGAGTTAGTATCTTTTACCAGACACGGGGTAGCTGCTTGAGTGCAGTACTCTAAATGTGGTCTTACGTAGGTGGGATACAAAATTCGAAACGTTTCCTCGTCAAAAGATTTGAATGCACGGCGAAGTGACTATAACGCACGAAAACGTTTGACAGCGGCTGCGTTGCAATACGTAGTTGTTTTTAAGTCATGGCTTATTATTAATCCTAAGTCTTTATGCTCTTGAACGCATGGAGTAGGTATACCATCAATATTATAGTGGTAACTATTACCGTGACCGATGTGCATTAGTACACTTTTCCTAGCATTGATTTCTAAGCCCCACTCTCGAGCCCATCTAACTAAATCGTCTAAGTCAGCTTGAAGATCCACATGATCAGCCGCACTTTTTATTGTTCTCCAAATTTTTACATCATCCGCAAACAATAATTTCGATGACCTAAGCAGCCGCAATAACTCAATAACGTAGAGAAAGAGCAGAGGGCCTAAGATGGTGCCTTGGGGTACACCACTTTTGACCGGCTTCCAACCGGATAGCGTCCCATTGACCCTTACACTCTGTCTGCGGTCACATAAGAAGTTTCTTATCCACTCATGTACAGTACCTATTATTCCGAAGCTCGTGAGCTTCTGCATAAGACCTACGTGTGAAACCTTGTCAAATGCTTTGCTAAAATCTATGAATATCACATCGACAGACAGACCGTTATCTAGGGCTGCTGTCCAATCCTCCCTCGCAATAAGCAAGTTAGTCAAGCATGAACGCTTGTTACGAAATCCGTGTTGCTCAGGAGCTAACAGATTGTGTGAAACTATGTGGCTTAGCAACCTAATACATATTATCTTTTCAAGCAACTTAACGACAATGCTAGTTAGACTGACAGGCCAGTAGTTGGATACTATCTGTCTCTGACCATTCTTAAATATAGGACTGACTATAGCGTCTTTCCAATCTGTAGGGAGTTGAGCGAGTGAAAGGGACATGTGTAAGGGTGTCGCGTGCGGTTTTGAAATAATGTCCGCAAGAGATTACAGCAACCGTGGATGTAACCCGTCAGGGCCCGGTATCTTACAGGGTTTGAGGTTTGTTATCAACGGAAGGACGGTTTTCTCAGTCACCTGTACAGATGCAATGGCTGGTATCTCGGTGTGAGTGGGACAAGTATTTGTTACAATAAGCGTAGAGTAGACTTCGCTAAAATAGTTTGAAAAAGTCTCAGCTTTTGCTCGATCTGATTCAGCTAGTAAATCTGGATTTTCGTGTAACAGTAACGGAGGAATACCATCACTACGTTTCATTCACCGTTTAACATACGAAAACAATCGTTTCAGACAAGTACGGCTATCATATACTAACTGTCGTTCGTAAGTGGTACGGGATTTGGCTATGGTTTTCTTACAGATGTTACGGAACTTTTGGTACTCACGTTTGAAAGGTTCATGACCTGTCAACAAGAATAAGTCCCAGAAATGTTTCCTACGCTTTAACAGCTTCCGGGTTTCCTTATTAATCCATGGAGTGCAGTGTGATAGCTTACGTGCTGACCATGAGATAAACGGCGACGTTACGGACTCGAATGTAGCCTTAAACTTATTCCATTCATCTTCGATCAATCCATCCGCGTCGACCGACCAATCAGTCGAGATAGCACAGTTTCTGATTTCCGGAATATTGGCTCGCCAGATGTTGGGACGGGGTGGAGCAGATACGAATTGTATACCATGTGTCCTAAACTTAAAGTGAATTACAACGTGATCACTGTTCACTAGTGAGGGAAGGTGCTGAATATCAAAGACATCCTCACAGTGGTGGGTGAGGGCGAGGTCCAGCAGTGACGGATCATGATTGAAATCAATATGTGTCGGTTTTGTGATACATTGTACAAGTGCACACTGAATAACGGTAGATAAAAGGTCGCTATCGAAACCACTACCTGGAGCTGTAAGCTCTATCCACTTGATATGCGGTACGTTGAAGTCCCCAATGTTGAGATAACATTCTACCATACTCCAAGAACAAGTGTGTCTTAGGATAAAGTCGTCAGCAAGACAAAAAGGAATACGGTATATTCCTACTATAGTCACTGACCCATTTCTAGATTTAATCTTACAACGTGCTACCTCATATGTACCACTAACATGAGCCTCCGATATGATTGATTGTATACGAAAGTGATCCCTAGCGTATAACATTATGCCTCCCCCCTTGCGACTTAAAACTTTATTGCTTCTAATACGATCAAAACAGTTAATTTACTCAACGAGAAACAATACCACTGTCATTTTTAGACAGCGCGTCAGGGATACAAACAAACATGTATAGCAAAACAATCCCTGTTACAATTAGTTATAATTATAATTGTTTCAATTAAACCATTCGCGTTCTCTCGATAAAAGTAGGCCACTACAAGCTCAACACGTAACTGAAGCTCTATCTATCGGTGCCTTTAAAAGCCGATTGGATCAACTGATAGACCACCGCTTTCAGGGCAAACACAAGCCACCGAGCCTCCTGTCATTTCTAAACTGACCAGGTGGACTTTTTTTAAACTTTACTAATACTTGATTGTATAATATATATATGCCGAATGGGGATCAATTTCCTGTTTAACAATTCTTTTCATTATAGAAGTCAAGGTTTGTGTCAGAAGTTGTTCTTGTGATTAGCTAGTTCTACCCTCAGGTGACCTTCAAATTACCGCTAAGTTCACTTTCAACATGCCCGGGTTGGACACTCTGGAGGTTCCTAATATTCCAGAAGTGAAATATGAATGTAATTATGCATTTTTACTTTAATTGATCCGCGTTTCAGATCTAGATCACACTGCTGATGTACAGTGAGTATTTTTTTGCGGTCCTAAACCAATATTATCTTAGATATATTAGTCAAAACAATCCTGATACAGGATTTCTTAGGACTTTATTTTGATAGTGGTTAGTGAAATGTCTTAAAAATTTACGTGCAGATGTGTGACTTCTGATAAGTCTTCAGAGTCCACGATGAATAGGCTCCATTCATTTACACTACCTGATATTGCACTGACGTTCACTTGGTCAGTTTCAGTTTGGAAATGACAGGAGGCTCGGTGGATTGTGTTTGTCCTGGAAGTAGTGGTCTATCAGTTGATTCAATCCTCTTTTAAAAGCGCCGATAGAGCTTCAATTACGTGTTGAGTTAATGAGCTCCATTCATTGGTACGATCGAATAGTCGATAATCATCTGACAAGTAATTTATTCTGAGGTTATGAAATTATTTGAAGTTTCCTCATAAATTTTCTGTTTTGGAAAACGAGAAAAATGAGGGCATAGCACATGGAAGTTTTTGACTAAGTGATTTGAAACTGATCGAGTAGCCTCTGGTTCATTGATACAACAATGAAAACAGGCCTAGTTTAGCCAATCTAGCATCATACGGAAGCCTTGGCATTCCGGTAATTAGTTTAGTTACGGTTCCCTAAACCCTTCCCAACAGCTTACTGTCTGTTTAGACAGGGGCTAGCTTCTTGCATGTAGTACTCTAGTTTTGGACGCACGAATATTATGCATGAAGTCGGGGATGTTTTAGCGTCTACACGACTAAAGACCCTACGTATAGACCATAAGGTTCTAAAACCTTCAGCGGTTACTACACGGCAATGTGCAATAGCTCCTAAGACTTGACTAACAACGTGTCCGGAGAACAGGTAGCTCACTATGTACGTATCCACATCTTGGTGACCAATATGCATCACAGTGCACCTGGAAGTATTTTTTGGCAACTACCAAGTTTGCGACCATTAAGACAATTTCTCCATGTCATTTTTAGTCTCTAAACTTTCACTTTTACATTTTAACGCTCTCTATATCTTGACATCCTCAGCATATAACGAAACCGATAATGATAAGAGACTACGAAGGTCATTTACATATAAGAGGAATAACGCTGACACTATAACTGCACTCTGAGGGGCTCTGTTAAGCACAGTTTCCCAGCTAGACATTTTCGAGTCCACCCGTACTCTTTGTTGGCGCCCAACTAGGAATTCTTTTATCCACACTAATAAATTGCCTCCAACTTCGATGTTTTAACTTAACAACTGAGGAACCTTGTCAAATGAATTTCTGAAGTCAATGTAGTCTACGTCTATTGGTAACTTGGCATTTAAGAGCTCACCAACTTTTACAGACTACTAATAGTTAGTGAGACAGAAATAACCTGTTCCGAAGCCATGCTGCTTTTCAGAAAGAACCCGGTTTTCTTCTAGATACTTAGACCACTACTTACGAATAATATTTTCTAGAATTCTAAGTCACGCTAGTTAGGCTTACGGGTCGGTAGTTCTCGGGTTTATGTTCCATACTTGTTTTGAAGACAGGACTTACTATGGCGTTCTCCCAGTCTTTTGGTTATCTACCTTGGGTTACGGATAGATTAAAACATATAGTTAAGTGATTCGCAACAAAATTTGCTAGCTCCCTTAGTAACCTGGGATGCGTTTTATCAGTTCCCATGGATTCGTCTATATCAAGTTAGTTTAGCAGATCAAGGCACATCGAGTTCTTTAATGGTCACGTTGTCCAGTATGTGTGGGGATATTTGTATAAACTGACGGGAAGAGTGTATCTACGTTATATACATTGCTAAAGTAGTTTAAGAATACTTGGGCTTTACCATAGTCGTCCTTCAGTAATGATAAAGTATTACTGTCTTCCTATAGTGCTAGAATATTTCCTTTTCTCTTAGTCCTTTAGTTCATATACAAATACAAGTGTTTAGTGCATTCTATAGATTCCTTGAAAATTTTTCTTCGTATAACCTTCTAGACTTGAGGAAGGTCGAGGCACAATTATTTCGATCATCTTGATATTGACATTTTGTCTCATTGGTACCCAGTGCCCTAAATCCTTCCCATATTCTTCTCTTACAGAGAAGGGTAACAACTTTACCGAATCATGGCGGACAGTTTCTCGGACCCCTTAGTGTAGTCCAAGAGGTGTGCTGCGCAGTGACTTTCAAGCACAAATTTGTAAATCCATCCCAAGCCGTTCCAGTTGGGAACTCTTGCTCTATTGACCAATCTACTTCGTCTGCTGAGTGTATCATATCTTGTATATTTGCTTTCCAGACGTTAGATCTGGGTTGGGCTGACACGCTCGTTTATAACACCTATATGGAAGTCAAAAATTAGAACTGCATGATCACTTTTACCTAAGGGTAGCATATAATCTAGGTTTGTGACGTCATCTCCATTATGGGTCAATATGAGATCTAGTGAGGATGTTTCGTAGTTCGGGTCGTACCTGTTAGCTTCTTTCACATGTACTGGGGCACATGTGATAACCGCCTCAGCTAGTTCCTGTTCGAAGGAATTCTTTGATAACTCAGTCCTTAGATTTTTCCAGTCTACCGTAAGTGTATCAAAGTCTTCTGGGATTAGATATCGACCACGTTGTGACTGTCTAGCAATACTTCATTCACCTCGTAGTTTGGACTGAGGTAGACCAAATCAAGCGGCAACTAACTAATTCACACGTCCCACTCATGGGATACATTGTCAATAATGGTAAATGTGATAGTATTCCTAATGAATAGAGCTACTCCTGTTTTACACTTGTGGATTCTGTCGGCTTTTTCTAACCTGAAAACTTCAATATCAGGTTGCATAATGTCTATAGACTGCGCTGATCAAGTTTTTGTTACTGCGATTTAGATCCGGCTTGGTAGAGTCAGTGTGTACACCTAACTCCGATCGTTTATTGTGCAAGCTTCGGATATTTGTGTAACAAATTGGAAGCTAATTTAGACGGCTTCGTGTTGCACCCAGAGTGGCTTCAGCATCATTTTCTGTCAAAGCCTCACCACCTGAAAATTTACAATTTTTAGGTCCTTTTTGCAAGCATCTAACCTAAGATTTAGTTCATTTTCGGCTTCTCGTCTTTTTATGAGGTCCGGGAGCGGCAAGTCTTTACAGACAAAAACTCATGACCCCTTCAGTTCATGTCCATTCTGTAGTATTAAGTCCCGTTCATTGGGAAATTTAAATACAACTTTAAGCAGCCTGGTTTGATTCTGTTTCAAATTCACTTGGTTACCTAGTCTATAAATCTTTAGTAAGGTAACCCTGGAGATATTCTGTGGCATTAACTGGCTCAGTAGCTGTTCTATCAACTCAATGTCATTCTCAAAACGAGTTTTGGGTTCCTAGCTTTCACTTTCCTTAACTATGAAAGATAGCCGTTACTATGATCAGTCCTTAATTTCTCAACTACCTTTTGGGGTGTTGGCTTTTCTTTAATAACATTATGTCGTTTCTTATTCTCGACCTGTACTCATCCATCAACTTTCGTTAGAGTAGCACGGTCACGTCACATATTGTAAGGTCCTGTATGCTTGTCGATGACTTGGGTGGTCAGGTTTTTGTTTTTCCTGTTAGAAACAAACCTAGTCTTACGATCAAGTTTTCTAAACGTTTCCTGCTGGCTGCTATCTGGAGGACGGGGGACAGAAGGAACTTCATTTCTGGCAGACATCTTTGAAGTCCGTTTTCCCTTCTTTGACCCATATAAGTCAATAGACTTAGGGCTTATTTGAGATGACTTCACATGAACTTGTGTTGACCGAGTAAGTGCTGTCTAATGTGTCTCGAATACGCCTGATTATACTCTTAGCAGCAATCACCATTACAGTGGCTTCAGATAGCAATCTGTTTGTGTCCAAGCAGCAATTCCAACACAACCACACGCAACTATTTTTGCTAAATCGTTTAAAAACTGCAGGTGTTAGATTCGTACAAACTTCGTGGTACCATCCTTTGCACTCATCACATTGCATGTCACTTTCCACAGAGTATCGACCACCTGGGCGTTGACAATTACTTGTTTTGCACTGTCCAGTCATCAATCAGAGATTTTCAGAAAAAAATAGACACAAACAATACCCAGAGACAAGAAAAAGTGATGACCAGAAAAGGTTGAAAACTTAATTGTTTGAACCAAATGTGCAAACAAATACAGAAGAACTAATGTACTCAAAAGAACCGATGATGAATTACTTTAAAAAAAGACGGTACTCTTGGCGAATACGTTAGCTGACATAATTTCAATTAAAGTCATAAGAGCAGTTTTGATGCGTAAATTATGTTCACAATAATAAAATTAACTCAGCGAGGAAAAATACCACTTCTTATTAAATGACGCACTGTCAAGACTGGATTAATAAATGTAAAAACTCAAGTGAAGCCGAAATTATGTTGTTATAACTTGATAGTGTTATTAAGCTATCGAATAAATTTTAGAGGTTGTAAGCGAGCATGCTAATCGTTCTTTGAATGTAATATGTAACAGATTTTTAGATGATGCAAAATCAATGTTTTATTATGTTTTGGAATTAGTGTTTCTGATGTGTAGTTAGTGTGAACGTTCATACCACTTTAATAGTCCTATTACCATAATTGGTCCTGAGACAGATTTTAGCCTCCATAGATCTGCTGTACCTATGCACACCAATTTTCACTTGATTAAGTAAAATGCTAGTAGTCGTGTTGAAATAATGTCATTCATGTACTCTAGGTCGAAGTATCTTTTTTGAGTAACAGATTCACAGTGGCACATACTAAACTGTCACTAAATGTCACATGATAGTGTTTCATATTAGGTTTATATGAATAGTAACTTTCACTGACGGAACATACGTATGCTCCTTTGACCACCATTTCACAAATGATATGAACGCATCCAATAATATGACTTTAAAAGTTAAAGTTTTTTGTTTATTCTAAATGGTATCACTTCCTGTGCAGAAGTAGGTAAATTTAATCGTTTTAACAGTCGTGTGTTACCAGTACCTTTTCCCAACAAATAGGCAATTATCTTATCTAAGTATCTATTCAAAACTTGTCAAATAATAAAATGGTACAGTGTTACTAATATTTAGAAATTATGACCTCCCTTGGAGTAATTTTTGACCTGGGACATCTCTGGCAAAGTAAAAGCAAGGTATATATGCGGCATTTTATCTAACACATATCCCTTATTTTCATTACTCATGGATTTATACTGATAGTTTAGTGCGGCACTGGTTGCTGAGCATTTATTTCAAATGTTCAAATTGTAAATAAATTTTATCAGTAACACTTTGCCATCAGACCATCTATGTACCGTCCCAAAATTCTTTAGATAAAAAATATATTATACTTAAACTCAGTTCAATTAGTGGATGTTAACCAAAATGACCATCTCATAGTTGGGAAGAAAATATTTATTATTTGACACAAATTATAACATATTCTTACTTTTTATTCTAATCACTGCCTTTAGATTGAGTTCCCATGAGTCCCTGACCTTTTGTGTACGTGGTTTTTGTCTGTTAGGTTACATTCCTGGGGTAATAACCAAACAGAAGCATTTGAACAAGTTAGTTGCATTTGATCTACTCATCAGGAGATGTCGTTATGCTATAAATAGATTGCCATGGCGATGTTCAACTATATGACAACAAACTACGACTCAGTGGATACTTCACAAAGATTTGAAATTGAAGCTGATGGTCAGTTTCTCCATTCATTTTTTCTAAGATTTTGCGTTATCACAGTTTTAGGTAAACGCGCATGCTGTTCTTCGTTGTATATAACGTATTAGTTGTTATGTTAGTAGTCTATATCAAATACATTCGTGTGCTAAGTAATTATTACTTAGGTTTACAATTTTTCATTGGTTTCCGTAAAGATCCTTGAATTAAACATCGGAATGGCCACTAGAAATCTTATCTGTTTATTGGTGGGTATTGATTACTAATTATTAGTCGTTTATTTGTTGAATAGTGTAAATAGGTCCACGTTTTGTTTTCGTAAATTAAAAAGTACTGGAAAGGGTGAATGTCAGTAATGTAGACAATGCTTTCTAAAAGACATATATTTGCTCGGACCTATGATCCGTTGTATCGGCTTTGATAGATCTGGAACAACCTGCTAACGTCACAAGACATCTAAAAAAGATTTCGGCTGATGCGTTTTTATTAAGTCACTACGATTTTCAAGCTTAACCACTAGATCAGAGAAGTAGCGACAGTCTGGAACACGAAATGCCAGGAGAAATTCCTAAATACCTTAAATAAATCAAGTTATTTTTTATACACTGATAAATACTTACTCTTCTTTGCAAATACTGCCATTGTCACAAGACTCTCCACTTCAAAAAGCAATCACTTTTCATGTGCCTTAGTGGTTAAGGTGTTTGACTTTCACCCACTAAGTCCTAAGTTCGAACCCCACCACACCTTCGGTTTAGGCAACGGGGTAATATTATTAACCCTCACACTTGAAATCTGGCACATACAAGCAACTGGAGAATGCCTTAATTAAGGATCCATAAAAAACATCCACCCCAAGTGTGCATTTAAACATAATTTCGACTAGTTGATCAGTACATCTAAAAAAGTCGAAGTAAATTTTCAAACAACTAAAGAGCAGGTAATCTTCAGCGTTTTCCTGTAAAATATGTCTTCGCATAACATCTCAATGTTTTTACAGTGTGCGAATCACAAAAGTATGCTTTACGATTTTGAAGAGTCTAGTACAGTAAATGTATTACTTCGTATTGGTCTATAAACATTTATGGATCATTTCCCTGTAAGTGTAATCAGTCTTGGGGAATATTTTGTGGACTCATTTACTTTCTTTGTTCAACCTATGTCTAAACTGTTCTCATACTCAAAATATATCTGTCAATATAATTTTTTCAGGTCACGATATGATGTCATTACTTTTTCATTTTCTGGATGAATGGTTATTCGCGTTTTCAGCTGATCCATTTTTCATTCCACGGGTAAATCTTCGTTGGTTAATGAAGAAATCTTGTGTATTTTTTGCGTATCGGTTTATTGGAAGTTAGTTTTTTAAGTAGTCAAGTGACTTCGGATGATAACCGACAACCTCTTTGTGTCCACGTTAACAATACCACATGTTTCACATTGACCGTGGTTTAGTAGTCAACGGTTAATGTTACAAACCGATTGAATAACTCAATCTGATTATATCAGATATTTTGTTATTTGATACGAATATCGTTCAAACTTTCCCCAAAATCGACTCAGTCCAACTCTTTGTTGTAAGTTTCATTGTCTAAACTGCTTAAGATACTAGAATAATTACTCAGATCTGGTTTAACTGTTTCAAATTGAGGAAAAGATATAGCATCATAACTACTCATAATTTTGTTAACAATTGTTTACATGCAGTTAGACTGAAAACTTCAATCTAACTAAAAGACAATGACATGTTTTCACTAAATCCTTTCACTGTAACAAATAAGGCCTCAGATGTAAATAAAGTTAGAGGATTTATATTTTTAGCTTTACCTACATATCAGGCCTTATTACAATAAATCGAGGTAGTCAAAGAAGTGAACAACGATATTACCTAGTTGCCTACATCTCAGTAATTAGAATAAGGTTTCAACTAGTAACCCCGTAGCTAAAACTCAGGTGTTTTAGCCACCACTTTTAGCTAGCTTTTGAAAAATCCTCATACTATAGTAATCTTTCGAAGAATTGTAATTATCCATGTTGGGTACTTATTTCTCTATGCTTGTGTTACTCTTCTACCAGTGACTTTATCATTTGGGGTTTTGTAGTAGTCTTTCTATTTCAATGCACTTCATCCTCCTTTTGTAACTAGTATTATTATGTAATTGTTAAATATTTGTAGTATACTTGTAGATTTACCTCCCTCACTGCATATTCGGTTATTTTTAATGTCAAAAGTCTGTACATCGCTTGTAATTTAGTGCCATCTGTTATGTCACTCATATGTTCCTGTTGCTTTCTGAATGAACTTCAAATCATTTTTCTCGAGTGAAACTTTCAATTACTTTAGTAGTTGTTTACAAACTGAATTTTTGGGTTGTTTGTTTATACTACATTTGTTTTTCTTATTAGATTGTTAAAATAACAGAATTTGATAAGGAAAAATTCCACATTAAATCATCTGGGTAAGTTCTGTGCTTTTTGAGGAAAAGAAAACCAATGTCATATTAATTTATTGTTATAGTTGGGGTGAACCTTTTGACATTTCAAAACATCCTCAGGTTGGTTATACTCTTCGTTTTGTCCTTAATGTTAAAGTACTTTGTATAATGTTTAGTTATTTCGATTAGTGATTGCAAACTTATTAATGTGATTTACAGATTTAATTTTAGAAAAGCACAAAAAGCCCTGTACCTCGTAAACGAATTGCATTATTATTATTATTATTATTATTATTATTATTATTATTATTATTATTATTATTATTATTATTATTATTATTAATGCTGTAGGATTTATTCCAAACAGCACGACATTGGCTCATACTTAACTTTCAACGTGTCTTTTAAATCATATTTTATTGAAGATCATATTACTTTTATTTCGAATAGTTGTAGTTTTTATTAAATATTTTCTTTGCAAAATTCTAGGGTACTGAAGTGAAAGCTATTACCTATTCAAATATGCAAATTCATGAAAACGAACATATGCACGAATTGTTTGTAATTATTGATATTTAAAAAAAATTATGTTTATATATACATTTATTTGAAACTAAATTTATACTAATGTCTTCTCATTTATACTAAAGGGGTTGAAAGATATTGTATTTTAGTGCAAAGTAAATGTAATAAATAGCTCAGATAGTCTATATTTTGTGTATTATGTCTCAAATACCACTCGTGAATAATGACATTATGAGAGTCTACCGTAAGTCTGAACATTCAACTGAGCTTAAAATTTGTTTGTTATGATTACTAAAGCGTAAATAACGTTTAATCTGTTGATCAGGCAGCATACAAATATATAACTGAGATTCACATATATGAACAGCTTTAATATCTCTTATCATTTAAATCAGTTGGAACTCTTATCCGTATTCTTGTGCTTATAAAACCTTTAGTAGTGGAATAGTAAACACTCATAGTATACTTCTGCGCAACTACTAAGTCACTCTTATTCCTCAGATTTCCATGCATCGGTATATAGTCTAAATTATTCCTTGGACATTATGACAACTTGTATATCAATAGTTAAAATACTATGAGCTGTATGTCCGTGATTGTATGCACACCATGTTCTGCAAATGTTACAACACGATTTACCAACGGAAATAACCTGTCAGTGATCGACTGATTTCTGAAATAAGTCTTTAAAAATGGTGCTTCTCAACTGTTTGCTTAACAAATTTGTTTTTGCTTTAGACACACTTTGTTAATAAATTAATTAGTTCTGTTTGATTGGATTGTAAACCTTCTCAATATTTAACACGTGGTACTTACCAACTAAATCAAATCCCAGTGATATGTGAATATTTTTTTCAAACAATTAATTACAACTTACAGTTTCAACCACGTTTTTTTCTAATTATAGACTGTAATTTAAATATTTTACAATTATGTCAATAGCATGTGTTTGGCATAATGTTTGATTAAATGTGTGTTAAGTTTGTATTTAATATATATTGAATAATTGAAATAACACAAATTATACACAAGGATAGTTGGAATTTCACTTCGGATTTGGTTTTTTTTCTGTATGCCCCTCTGATTACACCACATAATAGATAGCCTCATCACATATCCATATATAGTGGAAATCACTTTGCAATTGAATCTGTCAGGAGAGGGGGTATGAAGTAACAGCTTGAGAAAATAGAGTGTTTCACCAACTCACATGTAACTATTACTTAATAGACTAGTGCGTTTATCCATATATCCACATATACGTGTACTTACAAACAAAAAGTAAATGAGATTGGAAGAAACTTCTCTATTGTTTATCAATGATGAATAAATCGTAATATTATCCTAACTGAGCCTAATAAGATATGCACGAATTAAGTGAATAAGCAAGAGTAAATATGTCCTGTGTTCTGTATTTACCAATATGCTTAGTTTACAAGTGTTATTGTATTTCAATTAAAAGTTGCATGATTGACATTTCTTTCTAAGTATGTATGTAAATGGCCATACAAGAAGAACACGTGAACAGGATAACAAAGAACAAAAATTAGTTAGTGAATAAATAAACCATTAGATTATAGAGAAAAAGTGAGGATATGTAGAATGTCTTACTAACTTACTCTTTTCAATAGTTCTCATGGGTAACCCTCTTCTTAGTGAAATTGATAATAGTCAGATATTATGTTGGGAATATGTTTTATTAGAATCTGTGTATACTCAACGAAATAAAACTTGAAACAATCAAAACTAAAGATTGTACTATTTCAGTAATTGTTTATAGGATAATTGTATACGATAACAACTATCTTCAAAATAAGTTGTTAGTTTTCACTAGGATAAATCATTCATCACAAAAACTAGTTTTTACATGGACAAGTTTCATTGAATCCTATCATTTATAAGATCTGTGGTGCATGCTCTTTCTTAATGCCCAGTTGTACCAAAATGTCCATGTTTTAAATACGTTTATTTATTTGAACACATAAACAATAGTACAGGGGAGCACCAAATACTGATTTGTCTGAGGGCTGTGATATGGCCCAAGTGCCCAAACCGAGGGGGGGGCACTCCCCGAGTCTTTGACCTGAAGGTACAGTCCACAAAACAGTGGAGCGACGTGAGAAGATGCAGTCCTATGGTAGCCGGTGACCGACAGTAAGTTCATACGTCGTTTGTTTCCTTAGGATCCTAGAGCCCATGACCACCATTGGTTTGGAGTCAAAGTTTCCCAACTCCCCTGGGTAGATCCTCCATATCCACCAACCCAGTTAAAGCGCCGGATATTCGCTTTTCGTCCTTTCAATTTCTTAAACAACACCCCTGCCGCTAGGACTTCCCTGGGAGTGGTTGTATAAACATGACCATGTGAGAGCATTTCGAGATGGTTAGCGGACTCTTCCCACTCTCAACCGTATCAGGGCATTTGGGGGCTTTAAATAAGTAGGAATTCCGCGTTAAACAATTCGACAGAACATTTTGAACAATTTAAAGATGGAATTACTACACGTTGATGTTCATGACTAATATTTTCAACCTGTATAGAATCTTTATATTAACAAAATCTGTCTTTAATATTTTAACAAAGAAGAGTATACTTTGCAATTATTCCATTTTCAAAAATTATCCATGTATATTCAATTGAAATAATCACTGTTATGAATAAGTTTTTATGTTAGTATTTAAATGAATAAATCTCATAAATTTCACTTCATATTAATGTGTGCCGCCTAGAAGAACACATTAGGTAATTCCGAGTTATTCTTTATCACTGTCTTAACTATCACACAATGATAAATCTTGCTTAGTGATCGAACCTTAAACCTTAAGATGGTTCGATTCTCTGAACTGTAATAAATCCTTGTTATCGTGTGACGAACACGTTTCGTCCCACTTCTATTTGGACTAACTTTTATCTTTTCGATTTGGAGTTATTCATGCCTTAGAATAATTACGTTTGGATAATTCATGATCTTCAAGTGATTTTTCACTCTAAAGTGTAAAATCTACTGCTTCAAGAATTATTTATTCATGAATTATAGTCAAAAAATTTGTGAGTGGTACGAACGCTTTTTAATAAAAATGGTCACAATAAACAGTGGGGAATAGGATAAACGCAAAATGCAACTTAATAATATTCATGAATATCGAGTTTCGAAATGATGTCTTGTTTACTTCCTCAATGTACACTTATACATGAATTCAAAATTTTAGTAAGTTTTATTTTTGAAACCTTTAACCTGCTTGGTTACTGATGGTTCAAGATGTTTGATTAATTAGGAGACAAGCAATCAACTGCTACCAGACTTAACGAGAACGAAATGTCATTAAGTATAAAATTTAAAATATACAGCCTAAATAAATCAGAAATTTGTCAAATAATCCTTCAGTGTGAGATTTATTTTAATTTTTATGCTCTTATGTGATGATCAGTGTTAACACCTCTCTCACATCTCTCTCACTAAACGCTATACACTTTACTTGAGTAACCTCTCTAATTTAATTGACTAAAGTTATTTCTTCCTGAACGGTTATAAATAAGTAAACAAGTCGACAGTATTATTCGGAATAAATAAGCTACTAATCAAAATGATTCTGTTCAGACTCATTAGATTTGGCAAGGTTTTCGTTTCGTTGTATATGGGGAATACGTTCAGACGTTTAAAAGTTAAATAACTTCGATGAAACAACAGATGTGACTTATATTTTCATAAAAACAAAAAATTCCTTACATCGACTTTTGATGAAAAAGTCATCTCAGAATTCCAAGTTGAAAAAGATTTTTCGGGAAAAGCGAGCACTTAGTAGCCTTCTTACTCCAAATACAAATTAGTTGAATGTATATCAATGATTCTTTGTGGAATCGAACCTAACACCTGGAATACTGACATACTAGTTCCTAATGATGAAGCGATATTTTAAATTCTGAGAACTTTTGGCCCGACCTCAGGTGAAATCGATGTTAAGTGATGGGAAAGTGAAAACGGGAACAAAACTAGTGTTTAATTTTATTGCTTTTCAAAAATCCTACTGTTGAAGTCACTTAGGGAGAATACTGTCTTCAGAATCAGTAAGTCTCTACAAATTTGTGATTTACTTGAGTAATAGTCAAGTTCTCAGTGATCGGTTATCAAATTTGTCAATTTCGCATTAAATTATACTTGTCACTGGCTCGTCACTTTAGTGCTTCGTGATTTCCGAAAGAGAATATTTTCGAACTACAATAAGAATGAGTTGATATCTGCAACCACTTAATAATAGAGAATCACACTACTTTTAATTTAAAAGTAGTTACAACGTAACCAATCCAAAGCAAAACTCGTTTGTTTAGTGCAGTAGAAATGTCACAACTTCAATCAGATCTTTACTATGACAGTTGGATAAATTAATTTGTAACTATGCATAATCCGAAGTCAGAAGTATTTAGTAGTTGATTACCACCTACCTGACTTGCTCAATAATGGCATTGTTGAATACGTAAATTAATGATTAAGCCATGAAAACGTAGATATTTTGCAGCAATCAGTATTCGCATATCTGAAAGCCATTTCAAGTAGTAATTTTTACCTGTTACGCTATCACAGCTTTCTAAGTAATGAAATGTATTGAAAGCAAATTTCAGTAATGCCTGAAAGTAGCATATAATCCATAGCATAGACTTATTTCTCATCAAACTAGCAGTGTTGTATAGCGGAGATTTGTCGATTATCCTTAAACCAGGATGCAATAGATGATGTCAACTTGTTAATTTTCGAATTTCCCTATTCTATTCAAATCATTCATCTAATTATTTGATAAAAGTTAAAGAAAGCATTTTGAGTAATTTAATAAAATTACTAATATTTACACAAATTAATTAATCACACCAGTGATTACGTCATTGCTAACGTTATTATCGTCATTAACATTCTCTTTTGTTTTCCTGTTAATTCATCTTTTTATTTTATGCATGAACTGTTTCGTTTTCCCGTTTTTTCGGAAGAGAGATGGGGGGGACTTTTTTCTCTCCTCGATTTTACTTTGATAATTCATCTCTTTCACATTCCGAGAAAACTTGAGAATTTGTCACGTGATGTGAAGTTTGGTAACACCTTACCAATT